ATTTACATATGCACACATTTTATACACATTTTTATTATTTGCGTAATTTGATTGATTTGAATTTGAAGAAACAACATTTATAAAACAGTGCGCTTGTTCGAATACATATAGTAAACTGCTACTCTAGGAGTTTTGACAATAGAATACAGGGTCAATTGAGTTACAAGAACGTGCGTTTCGCGTTTCGCGATTCACACGATAGATATTCAGAGGTTAAGTACCAAACATGAATGCACAGAGTTTGCCCAAACATTTCATCGTTAATTTTCATTGAACATGGAAAGCCCCGGTTACCGGAAGTCCTGTGGAAACGATGTCGTGGAAGTTCCGAACTTCTAATAGCGTGCAGATGAGTATTCTAATGGACGCGACTAAATGTTCGATCAAGTGGGAGCTCGATGAATTTTTTTTAATGAAAGCGATATCTCAAATCACAAGGAATAAAGATCCCTTACATTTTCTCTCGACTAAATTTGTTGCCGATAATTACAGCTTTTTATTTTTTCTCAGAGACAATTTTCTCCATTATTATTTAATACTATTAAATGTTATTATTTTTGTGACAAACAATTGAAACGTATATTTGCGTATACAAAATATTTAAAAAATATATATCTTGCTTTCATATTTTAAGCAATGTTAATGTTTTGTTCCATGAATCCAAAAATAAAAATCAGTGTAAATTTATCATTATTTGGTTTCACACAGATGTTCAATTTTCCACCTCATATATATCAATTATCATTGTAATATTTGAACACGTTGACCTCGTGAGAAGTTTGAAAAAAAATTTAAATTTGAAAAAAATATTATAATAGAAAGTGCTGCGCTAAATGTATAAAGTCTACGACATAATAATACTTTTATGAAGTCCGACGTTATCGTTGCGTTTTTTATTACAATTTTCCGTGCTCCGCTAGCATATGAATGTGTTTTTTTATTTTTATTCGGATTATATCTGCGATAATTAGCTTCTCCATCGCGATTTTATCTTAACGTAATTTTCGAGTTTCATTTCGCATAATAATTCCGTCTTCTCTAAAATACATGTACAAAATAAAGTTAACGTGTTACTATATCATTTTATCATCACTTTTAAAACGGATCTAAACTTAGAGCAACGCCGACTTCCTCTTTCTTCGTTGTAATTAAAATTCCACCACGAAGAATTGCCATATTCTTTTCATGTAAACACGCAATCGCGTGAAATAAATGATAAGTTTTTTTGAAATAATAAGTGTGTGTGTGTGTGGTGGGGGGGTGGGGGGGGGTGTCATTGACTATTACGCATTCTACGATCTTGCTAATTTTTTCTAAAGCATGTGTAAATATCATACCCGTAATTATTATTCCCTAAATATTACTGCATTATTGTAAAACGAGTAGCATTAAACATAAAAATCTATGTTGCTATGTTTAAATATTAAAAAGCATTCTCGTCCACGCGTATGATCTCGCAATTTTGCGGAAATTCATCATGCAGGAGATCGACGTTAGAAAATTTCCATACGTTCGACTAGCGTTTTCCGACGCTACATCACCGAATGGCAGAGAAGCTTTAATTACTTATTTAAAAATGAGACACGATAGCTATATTTAACGAGACTTCGCTTCTGGCGTTGTGAGAAATGCATAGACGTCGAGTGGAATAACCGCGCGGCTATGTCGACATCCGTTTCTCTCGCGAAGAGGTTCATGAAATATTAGCGCGCCAGTATTCGCTGCTGCACACACCACTCAATGCATCGTAAAAAGAGTAAAAAGAGTAAAAAAAGAAAAGAAAAGAAAAGAAAGAAAGAAAGAAAGAAAATAGAAACAACCGAGCTGCACCGGATAAATGGAGGAAAGCAGAGTTGATTTATTGCCGCGTGATCACGAATTAATTAATTGATCGTCATGCAAATCAGCGTCGACGGCTGAATTGAAAATAATTATAATGTGTATTATTCATTAAAAACAAATTTAAATATTGCGTTACAAATAACAAAAGAGAGAAAAGTAGGTTCGCGGTTTTTTTTTTTTTGCTTTGTTAAACCCATCTCAATTACTATGAGAAGAACGACGACGATGTTACATGCAATTGAAACGTAAAATCATGAAATCGCGAGTAAAAGAGGGAATTATATGTATTTCCAGATGCAATTTTTTTTTAACAGCGATATATTATGCTGAAAATATCGAGACCTCTTTCTCCTCTCGTCTCTCATTGATTAACTATGCCGGTAGCACTGACGTCAAATGATAAAAAATTCCATATACCGTCGAAAGAGTTGCGGTCGAGTGCGGCTAAGTGGAGATAAATCGAAGCGCATGCATTATTCATGAGTTACAGTACCTGGACGATCTTCGTCATTTCTTGCATATCGATAACGCCGTTGCCATCAACGTCGTACATACGGAACGCCCATTTCAGTTTTTCTTCCGGCGTGCCGCTGGACGTTACGTCGATCGCCAGTAGAAATTCCTGCAACAAAAGCCGACGGCATCCCGCATCAGTAACGTCACAGTTTGCACGATATCAAAACTTTTATTTCCTCGCACACAAAGGAATCTGCTTTTGTGCGTGAAAATCCATTTCCCCAAGGATATGTGTCCGTAATATCGCATCGAAGGGAGCATTTCGGTTTCGAATAACGTAATTCAAGCACTTCTATCAAAACTGCGCTGAGCAATAGCTATCCACTCGAAATACAATGAGATTCGGGGAAAAATCGATTAAAATCCTTTAAAACCCGAAATAATTGAGTCAGCTGAGCAAATAAAAGGTTAAAATCTTAATACAGACTAAACAGAATGCTTCCAAATTCCAAATTTTATTCTTTAAAAGTATCTCCAGATATTTAGAAACTGAAAATAAAGCCATTTTTAATATAAATTTAAGATAAATTTATTATTTTAATTTTTCTATTTCTTTTTCCTATCAACGTAATTGTGGAATTGTTTTTTTTTCTAAATAATGTATTTATAAAAAAAAAATTAAAATAGGATGTCTACTCAAATTTGAAAAGAAATTTTCGCCAAATCTTCAAGGCAATTTGTTAAAAATTCCAGGTAAAATAAAAATATTTTTAAATGCATCTTACAAATAAATGTATATTTATTATTCAAAGTCCTTTATCCTCTCCATTCAAGTTTATAAATGATAAAATAAAATTAAAAATTATTCGAACTTCAATAACTACATTTAAAAAATTTTGAAAGAAACTATAAGAATTCTAAAAGATAAATATTTCATATTGCATAAAATTTTCAAATAGCAAACAAAAAAATTATATAATATAAAAATATAACATCTAATAATATAAAAATATATGCATATGACAAAATTCAACTTTTATAAAGTTATTAAAAATCCGTCTTTATTAAACAAAATTGCATCTAACATGAAATCGTTATCTTCAATATTACATTAATAAGAAAATCAGTGTACTTTGATGTTTAGAAAGTGAACGGAGCCATTGTTGTCGTTAAGAATTCAATCGGTAAATTGTAAATTGTCAATTGTAATACAAAAATAAAATTCTATGAAAATTCAGGTTTTCCAGGTTTTTCCAGGTAAAAGCACGATAAAAAGAACTTTAAAGGTATTCTACATAAAATTATTATTCTTTTCCAAGAAATTTATTTCCTCGTTATATTTTCAAGAAGAGCTTTTGCTTAAAACTTAAAACTTAAAAAAAAGTCGATATTTAATTTAAATATTAAATGCATATTAAAAAATTTTCAAAGTTTCGACAAAGACAAAAAATTCTAGAAAAGTTCCAAGTTTCTTCAGACAACAGACACTCTATTAAATTATAACATAATAAATCCTTTATAACGTTCTAACGTTACAACATTTAGTAATAAATTTTGTAAATAAATTACTATGAAACACTTTTTATAAATTTTCAATAGTGAAAGCTTTAATAGTGAAAGTCATCTTGCATATCTTCTCGGCTCGTTAATAATGCTCTTGCTATTCAAGACATGTGTTATCGATCACCGACGGCTACATCGCCTTATTTCGCCTCGAAATTATGGTTCCTTTTACGAGCGTCATGTCTCCATCGCGTATTACCCACATAGGCGAAATCGCGTAAGCGTAAAAGCTCATGCGGTCACAATGGCGGTCGTGATTGTGTCGGGCGAATTTGTCAGGTCAAATCCACGGGAGGGTAGTAGTCCTCGCCCCCAGGCCGATACCTTTCGAGCACCGGCGAGTCGTTAGAGAGGACATTCTGGTAGAACTGGGTCACCTGCCGCCCGAGGTAGACAAACGAGACGAGAGCTTTATAGGGATAGGGACGAGCGGATGGAAGGCGAACCCGGCTCTTTGCTCTTCCTGACCTCTGAAGTGTCGCCACTTCTCGTATTGACTTTAGATAAAAAAGAAAGGGAAAAGAAGGGAGAGAAAAAGAGGTGGACCATTTTCCCTCTGACTGGCCTTAGGCTTACACCTATTTCGGATGCAGCTTATCCGCGATTCTGCGAACCCTCGCAGAAGAGCCTCTGGAAAAACCCCCGACATTACCGGAGAAACGACGACTGATGCCGAGGAGGAAAAAACATCTTTGTGATGCCATTAACTGGCCTTGTGACAGACATCACGCTGAGAATAAACGCGAGGTGAATGTTTGAGATTGGAGTGAAATGGTTTTAGAGGCGTTATTTCGAATGCATAGAGCAATTATGTCTAGTAGTCAGACGTCATAATAATAAAATGGTGGATTCATAACAATGCGTATCGAGCAATGCGCATACGTGATGTATAGGAAATTTTTCCAGAACGGGTTTAAATTTCTTCTCTAATTTCTTGCGAGCAAAATTAAGAATATCGATAGGATTTTCAGTTAACATTATATATTTAAATAACATCTCATCAAATATGATATTTTGCGTATAAATTATATATTTGTAATCATTTTTCCCGCAATTTTATTTTTTATATGATAACTCATATGAAAAAAATTAATATTTAAATGTTCTAAGCATGAAGATAACAATAGTTTTTACATTTATTATTCAAAGTCGTTTAAGACAGAATGAGATATAGAAAAAGACATAGTGTTCTACCTATATCGTTTACGTTAATAGAAGTTAAAAAGTTGAGAGGGAAAAAGTCAAGAAAACGTAGGTTGTGTTCACTTCACTTGTATATTACACATCACTTTACTTTACATATCAATTTCATATATCATAAACCACAGTTCACCCGAAGCTCACAAGTCTCTTTGCAAATCAAAATTTTGAATCTACTGAAAATTTATAAAAATAGTAATATTACAATTATTACATTAATAATATAAAGTCATATTATAATTCGGTAATAATGAATATACGTGCATGTCTTAACTAACATGAACACGCCAAGTTTTTGTACGTTCTGTGCAACTTCGAACATGCGTACTCAGCATTCTTTTTTATCTTTTTTTTTAAAATAAATTTTTCTAAATATGTTATTAAATCTTATATAAGCCACATTACATACATACGTATATGTATGTATGTATTCATATACACAATAAAGTTAGAAATCGCGCTCTCAGAATACCTTCCCGAAACAAGCTTTCTAAAAGTAAGTCCTTAATGAGTTAATTTCCAGTCCCAAATGATGCGTCCGAGTGCAACAATGCAATTACACGGTACACTGCGCAAAAGTTCCCATTGAGGGAAAAGTGTGAATGAAGCTTGTTTTTTGTTTTTTTTTTTTTCGAAACCTTCGTAAATTCTCAGATAATGGGAAAACTACAATGTTATTTCTCAAGTAACAAAAAAGCGATATTTAATTAAATTATTAAGAAATCGAATAAAATTAATAAATAAATTTTTACAGTTTGTTTTTGAACTTATATTATTTATATTTATATTTATGCTATTTCATATACATATATAAAGTATAGATTTTTTGTTTTTAATCAAAATTTTTTTAAGATCACATAAATTTTCCAAGATATGTAACATATTTTGTAACACAAGATAACATGCAGGATAAGCTAAGAAAGAATTATTTAATAATATTGATATTAACCACATAAAAAATAAATCTTTAATCTCATATGAAATAATTCTATTACTTTTAATTAACCTAGCATATTTGTAAACCGATTTATAATTTATATTCCTTTAAAAAAATTATAATTTAATACGAAACGTCAAGTGATTAAATTAAATTAAAAAATTGAGAAATATCTTCTTTAGATACGTCAGAAGTGAAACTCCATATATGCATTTAGTATCATTCAAGTATCTCTTTCAATACGGAAATACAGAAAACACCATATAAACTCATATAAAGTCTCTCATGAAGAAACATAGAAATATATTAACGTCCTGAAAAAGAATTTGTCATATCACTCGTAAATGCATTCGGATACGCTGAAGCGAGTGCAAAGCACTGTTTATGCAGAACGAGGTGTTTTTCGATTCCCGAGATTTCAGATAGGAAGAAGAGATGATAAATGTAAGCGGAATCCAAGGTTTTCCTAAATAAGAAAAGTTGCAAGAACCCCGAGATAGCTGACCGGTCCGTCATTTATCACCGTTCCATCGGAATTGTTCGGGAAATAAAGTTTAAACTACCGGAAGTTCTAGCTAAATCTCTAATGACTTTTCAATGCGCGAATCGTTTGAATTGGCTCATTATTCCCTCCGTGTAAAAGCTGCGAAAGTTTAATTACGGAAAGTTTGTCGTCGAAAATTATCTTTCTTGATAAAAATAATTAATAACACAAAAATATATATCTCAATCATCTTAACAAAAAGTATATCAAATATATTAAAATATATTTGTACGTGTAAACTTTACTTTACGAGAATTGCAAATGCTTTCAACAAAATCATGGAGACTATCTCAAAATTTACTTTATTTATATCGCACATTCGTTAATCAAAGTGTTTTATTCTAATTCTTTAGCAGAAATTAATTAAAAAATTATAAATTCTAAAATAAAAAGGATAAATCCCCGCAAGTGTGAAAATAAATGAGATATGAATTCCGTTCGTAAGAATTTAAAGAGCAGCCATTTTAGATAAATTTTAAAAAAGTAAAATGTTAACATCTAATAATAATAAAATTGACAAAGAAAAAATAAAGATAACAGAAGAAAATGATTTTCAAAACTTTAAATCGTCAAAAAAATCAACTTCGTTCTCTACAAAATCATTCTCTTTCGAACGATATCATAAAATATTTTCTCCCTCGAGAAAGAGAGCCACTCACATATACTTTCCATAAATTCCATCGCTTGTTATTACCGCTATTATCATTGCTGACGTTCTGAAAGATGTCACATCGAGGGAAGATCTTTCCATTCAAGTGAGGATCAAACTCCGGCGACTTCGTAGGGATTTTCTCTGGAGAAAAATTGATAGCGAGAAAACCGATGTTATTATACCCAGAGCGAACGTGATATGAAAATGTCCACAAAAGGACAGGAGCGAGTTTTTATACATATAAGACAGCTATTCGTTTCAACGCGATAACGAAAATCGAACGTGGACTATTATATTCGACTCGTGTCTCTTATCGGGGAAATTCGTATATTTTCAGTTTCTGAGGAATTGCAAATCTCTCTCTCTCTC